TAAGACTAGAGGGAAGGCAGCTAGTCATCACCACCCACCGCCAATTCTTGGGATATTTTTTTACCACGAATAGTGGGATTGACCGTCTCATTATAATGTCCCCACGGCTGAAAGGGCGAGCATTTTGGTGTGACGGGGATTCGAACCCGCGACCCGCAGATTGCGAGTCGAGCGTCCTAACCACCAGGCCATGCCGGGCCGTTGACCTATGTATACTTTGTTGCATAAGCATTGGATCGAATGTATTTCTTGTTTCTGGAAACTATTGATAGGGCCTTTCTCTTTATTCAGTTTACTTGAAAGTTTTCCAAAAGGTTTGAAGGTTGGTTTGATTTGGTTGTTGTTCGATAATGTACCTATTTTATTTGAGATTTCCAGCTGATAAGGTAAACATAGAGATTTTGTTTTTTCCACATTATTTCCTTAGCCATCGATGTGTTTGAAGGAAAACGAAGTTTGATAATAAACAAGATGACGACACTAATGATATACAAAATTGTTAATAAACAATATTGTATATCATAAGTGTCGTAATCTTGTTTATTATCAAATTTCCTTAGTCTTGTTTATAAAACTATTTTTTATTTTATTTTGTAGAACAACCTGTTGATTAAAGACCTGTTAACTTGATTAAGAAATACAAAGTTTTTGGAAAATAACAGATATATCAAAAAAGAATTTTGGGCATGATCTCAATTACCAAACATTACGTCAGAGAAAACACTGATTGTAAAATATTAGGTGTGAGTATCTCATCATAGTAGTCGATACGATACGTATCTAGATACAGAAGTTTTACCAACGGTTTGTTACAAAGTTTGACAGTCTTGTCTGTAATTTATTATCTATATTACTAACATTGTCTTATTTAAGTACTTCACACTTTACAGTGTTTTTCCAAATTTTCAGTTAGATCAACTAAATGGCAGCTGGCAAGAGAAGTAAAATAAAAAAGTTAATATCTGTCTATCTATTTTGTTATTGTTAATTTGTTATGTTACTTTACATGTAATGTTTTTGATAAAATAAATGAAGACAACATGTAGTACTCAATACTCAACTTCCTTTATTGAATCATTAATTTTTAGCAAAAACACTTTATTAGAAATTCTGATTTCTTCTGTACAAAAGACTTGTAATGTTTACTGAAAGTTTGCCAAATTTTGTGAAGATACATAAATTGTATCGTATCGTATTGGACGATGTCTCGATACAATCGTATTAAGGCTTCACGATACGATACTCGTATCGTATTGCTGTATCGCCCCAGCTTTACAAACTACATGTAGTTACGTGTAATTTTTAATATGTTAGTTATTAGATGCTCATTTCTTCAGGGCTCTGCCCTATAGTGGCCCCCCCCCCCCAGTGGCACAGCGGTATGTCTGCGGAGTTACACTGCTAAAAACCGGGTTTCGATACCCGTGATGGGCAGAGCACAGATAGCTCTTTGTGTAGCTTTGTGCTTAACTGCAAACAAACAAACAAACAAACTGCTCTGTAGTAAAGCTCTGAAATTTTAGGACTGACCCGTTGGGTTCGAATCTATGCGATACCAAAAAATATTCCTATGATTTTTTTTGAAGTAATGAGTGCGTTATAAGAGTGACAGATAATCTCTTAGCGTGGATATTGAATGGTAGAGTGCTGATCGTTGACTGCCGTTTCTCTGGTCACTGTATCAAATTATGGGACAGGCGGCAGGTAGCCATAGAAACCTCGCCTTAAGTACAATCCTTTTTTTTTTTAAATTAGAGTTTCTGTGTAATTTATAACCTTATGAACAATTTTAATTATATGTTAATTATACACTGCCCTTTTATACGCGCTGGAAGGAATCTGGAAGCTTATTTGATAAATATTTAAATAGCTGAGAGAGTTTTATGTAGTGAAAAAAAAGATGCTTTGAAAATTACGCAGATCGACTTTAATACAGAATTAACTCGGCTTCTGTACTAGAGACTAAAACGATAATTTTTATTCACATATTTGTACTAGATGAAATAAAAAAAAAGTGTATAATGAGTTTAAGATCTGACGTTTATTATAATTTAGTTCTAGTTAAGTACAGAATCACACAATGGGATATCTGTGATCTTTCCACCACAGATATCCAAACGCGAATTTTAACGTCGAAAACCTGCAAATTTACCACTGAGCCACTAGGTGACGCCTTTTATACATACAAAGACTTTTAAATGATACTCTGAGACACCGTTTAAGGTTTGAGGGACAAACCTTTTTTTTTCTCGTGTTGTAGTGTTATAGTTTCAT